ACATTACGAATACAGACGTTAAGCCCCCACCTCAGACAACTGAACTGGCCCCCACCGGGGTGGGACCTCTGGCATCCCAAAGTGGTTCTGGTGAAAAGTCTGGATCTACTGCTGCCTCCAGATAGCACTGCTCTACATCCCTTGGAGATCTCAAGCTTTTGTTCCAGAAAAAGGTAAACGCAGAGGATGCTTTCCATGGCAAAGACATTCCCAATTCTAAGTTCTCCCCAATGTCTACACTATATCCCTCGTGCTGAAGTGTGAAGACCTCTGCACATCTGCACTGTGAATGTGGAGGGGACTTGCTCAGCGAAGTCTCACCTTCCTTCCTTGGAGAGAAGTGGAGGCCCAGAAGGGGCTCGAATCTGAAATTTCTTCAACCTTTTTTTTTTTTTTTTTTTTTTTTCAGACGGAGTCTTGCTCTGTCGCCCAGGCTGGGGTGCAGTGGCCGGATCTCAGCTCACTGCAAGCTCCGCCTCCCGGGTTCACGCCATTCTCCTGCCTCAGCCTCCCGAGTAGCTGGGACCACAGGTCCCCACCACCACGCCTGGCTAGTTTTTTGTATTTTTAGTAGAGATGGGGTTTCACCGTGTTAGCCAGGATGGTCTCGATCTCCTGACCTTGTGATCCGCCCACCTCAGCCTCCCAAAGTGCTGGGATTACAGGCGTGAGCCACCGCGCCCGGCCACATTTCTTCAACTTCTGTGCAAAAGGACAAGGGTGTGGGAGACTGAATGCTCCCAGACTCCTTTCCTGCTCCTATTTCTGATATGTAGGTTAAAAAAACATTCACGGCTGTGAGTGAGGAGGACTCTGGGTTGTTTCTGACAATGCTCCAGGATGCTCTGAGGGGTTCTCCTGGCCTCAGCTATCGAGGGCTTGCCTAGCACTCAGCCACCTCAGTTGCCAGCTCCCCCCTCCCAGGAAGTGGGGGTAAATGTGAGGAGGAAGCTGGCGTGGGCCTTTTCCACTCACAGCCGCAGTGCGACCTGGGGGATATGGCCCAGCCTGGGAGGCTGGGGACAGGGAGTGTGTGTCCTGCCTAACCTGCATAAGGCCGAACTGCCCCAGAGGTCAGCCTCATTTTCTCTGGCCCTGTGGGAGGAAGGTGTGTGGTCTGCACGAGGAGAAAAAGTAGAGGCTGTGCTGCCCATGGCAATGCTGTCTAATGTTTCATTTGCAAGAGGATTTTCTGGTCTGTCTTGTGCAGAATTTCCAGGCACCTAAGTGCCATCTCCTCGGTGCAATCACGAACTCCTCATGGAGAGGGACTCTACGTTCCCTTTGCTTAACTCAGAGCCTGGCATGGAGGGAGTGCTGGTTCGATGCTAGCAACTGGTTACACACAGACTGTTCCCCCGGTGCCTGGCCTGGGGCAGACATGCAGCCGTCATGACCTGAGCTGTCATCCCCAGCATCCAGGATAGGCGCTCATTGAAATGTCATCCACTATAATGAAAAGTGAGCGTGTGGAGGTGCCTGGGAGATATTCTCACAGCTCACCAGAACCCGCTCTTCTCCTCGGGATTCCTCTAGGCTCCCTCCCAAATCAGGCCATCCCCAAGAACTTCCTCCCACTTCCTCTCTAAAACCTGAAAATGTCCCTCCCACAAACAACCTCACACCTCCAAACTCACTTTCTAGATGTCTCAGAATCACTTAATCTCACCCTGAGTCATTTGTAAAGAATCCCATTTTCATATCCTATACCCTGTTGGGATTTCCAGTCTCTTGTTTGACGTCTGAGTTGCAAGTGCCTTTATAGACAGGCCCACCAGCAAGGTGCGACCCACCTTTCTTTAAAAAATAGAAGAGACTGAAAGAGGCTCTAGTAGAAAACATCAGAGGTTGCCAATAAGGAAACTGATGCACAGAGAGGTAATGCAAGTTGCCTGAGGTCACACAGCTGGTAAGTGCCAGTGGTTGGGCAGGGGCTCCAGTCCTTCCTGCCTCCTATTTCAGTGACCTGCTCAATAGAGTCTGCAGTTCTCAGGTTCTGCATCTGGAGAATACCTCTGGAATGGGACTGGTCAAAGAGTTCAGTGAGTCCCCAATCCCAACACAGTTCCCTAGCCAGGAGTGGGCCTTGATCAGCTGACTCCAGAGCAGGCATGGCTGGCAGGGATACTGACTGAGGATGGGCATGGAGAGGCTGGAACCTTTGGATGAGCTGGTTGTGCATATGCAGCCAAGAGTGGCTTGACTTTTATCTCAACAATGTTTCAAGCACAATTACTAAATGAAGACAAACCGCTAATAGAGGCTCTTAAAGATGGATATCAGGGCTAAGCAGCTCTCCAGCAAGTCAGGGGCACTTGTTTCTTCCTGCAGAAATGCAGGCCAGCAGAGGAGGTCCTGCAGATGAGATGCAGGCCAAGGCTGGGTAATTGCCCACCAGTTCAGACTGCAATTATCTCCTTAGAGAAGAGAAGAATGCCTTCCTTTCTGGGAGAGACCACTTAACTTTTGCTGTGGCTCCTCCAGGTGATCAGTGCTGGGGGTCAGAGGGGAGAAGGGGTGAAGTGGGGTCAGCAACGAATCCAGTCCCCTCATTTTACAGATAGGAAAACCAAGCCTCAAGAGAGGCCGAGAAATTTGAGCAGTCACAGAGCTAGCTGGTTGCAAAGCCATACATGACTCAAACCCAGAACTCCTGATTCTCAGCCTCCCACTTCCCAAAGCTACACGCTAAGCACCTGGACACCCTGTTAAAATGCAGATTCAGTGGGGCTGGGGGTGAGGTCTGAGACTCTCCATTCCTAAGATGTTTCCAGGTGATGCCAACGTTGCTGGTCCATGGACTATACTTTGAGCAGCAAGTCACTACACTGTTGTCTGGAAGGATACAGGGATCCTTAAACTTAGCCTCTGATTATACTGATGCTCAAACTCTCCACTTCAGCCAGACAAATCCTCTAAGACTAATAAAGATACTTATTTAAAATACTAATAATTATTATTTTGACATTCATTGGATACTTAAGTGCCAGCACTGTTCCAAATACTTACATGCATTATCTCATTTAATACTCAAAACTCTGTGAGATGGATACTATCCCTATCTTACAGATAAGGAAGCTGAGACTCAGAGAGGTTAGGTAACTTGTCCTAAGTTGCATAGCTAGTAAATGGCAGAATCAAGAATCAAACTCAGTTCTGTCTGATTCTTTTTTTTTTTTTTTTTGAGACGGAGTCTCGCTCTGTCGCCCAGGCTGGAGTGCAGTGGCTGGATTTCACTGCAAGCTCTTCCTCCCAGGTTCACGCCATTCTCCTGCCTTAGCCTCCCAAGTAGCTGGGACTATAGGCCTCCACCACCTCGCCCGGCTAGTTTTTTGTATTTTTTAGTAGAGACGGGGTTTCACCATGTTAGCCAGGATGGTCTCGATCTCCTGACCTCGTGATCCGCCCGTCTTGGCCTCCCAAAGTGCTGGGATTACAGGCTTGAGCCACCACGCCTGGCCAGTTCTGTCTGATTCTTAATTAGGTAATACCTACATAAAAATACACCCTTTAATCCTTCCCTTCTCTGAGCTTTGGGAGCCTCTCCCCAGAATGTTCTAAACAGTCCTCCAGCCAAACTATGTTTCCTCCAGTGATACTTGGCCTCAGCTTCCTCATAACGCAGAGTCCTAAAAGTCCTTTCTCCCCAGATCTGTGTATACCCAATGGACCTCAACAAGTTATTTTTAGAGTTGAGGTTGGGGAGACACAGGACGAAAAGGAGCCGGGACTCAGAATAATGTGTAAATAGATGATCTACAAGTTATTTTTACAGTTGAGATTGGGGAGACACAAGATGAAAAGGAGCCGGGACTCAGAATAATGTGTAAATAGACGATCTACTACACAGCAAGACACATGGTGATCTCTTCTTGTGCAATTAGAGGCTGCACGGTTGCTCTAAGACTGTTTCGGCACAGACTCTGAAACTGCCTTCCAGGCTTTGCTGGAAGTATCTGAATGGAGGAGCAGGTGGTCTGTGGAACTGCACAGCCATGGGATTGTTGAGGATTCCTGCAGAACATGAGCAAATCTCTGGGTGTGGACAAGATTTCGTGGCAGAAGCAGGGGGCAGGGCCTCCTCTGTATGCTTCCAAGCTCTACTCAAACCCAGCCCTGTGTTTTGGCCTCACCTTCAGGGTTATGAACCATCCCTAGCCATACCACGTCTAAGTCCATGTTCACAAAATGTGAGCTCATGGCTGTAAATGTATGTTAAAGGACCAAGAACAGCACGGTGCCCATAACCATGCATTGATTCTCATGAAGGGACTGGTGTCTAGCGGGCTTGCCCCAGTTTCGTGATATACCTGCCTGTTCTGACTCTGGTTCAGTTCTTCAGCAGCTTCTTCAGATGTTGCTTAACTTGCCTGGTCCTGTCTCCTGGAGAGGTCTTGGAGGCAAATATGGTGGATGAAGATACATGAGGCCGTGATGGGAGAGAGCAGCCATGAGGAGGGACATTCAGCAGGGCTATAGATCACCTTACCAAACATGACACCTCTGCAAAGTAGGCTGATCTGGCACTGGGGGAATGGCCCAGTATGTTGGGGCCTTACTGCCTGGAGGGAATCAGAGTGATTTTTCTTCTGGTCACGGGCACCTGGCTAGCTCACTCCGAGTCCTGGCTCTACCGTTTACAAGCTGTGCCTTCTGGGGCGTACTACTTAACCTTTCTGGGTTTCCAACCCTCCACCTGCAAAACGTGCAGATAATAAATGTGCAAAATGATAACCAGTCCCTACTTCAAAGGGTTGTGGTGAGGACTAAATAAGCTAGTGTATAAAAAGTATTTAGAATAGTGCCTATCATATAGCTTATAAAGGTGAGGGAGAGCTTAAAAATACATATATCGTGACAGACATACGACCCGGTCCCCACTTTGGCAGACAGCGATAAGGAGGCATCACACAACGTTCTGGCAGAAGATCTAAGAGAAAGGGCACTATGTGTCTCTTTCACACATAGTTACAGAAAGTGGCTGACACTGGGGTACCCACCTTTTTAGGGCATACTCCAGTTCATTCTTCTCCTCATGGGCTTCTTGGAGCTGGGAGAAGATTCTGGTCAGGAAATCTTCAAAGTTGGATAGCAAATGAGGTTCATCCTTCTTCAGCTGCAGCCAGAGCTGCTTGACATCACTTTCACTGCAAGAGAAGGGATGCTCATGTGGAAGTGTGGAAATGAGGCTTCATGGGAAATACAGAGGTTCCCAGACAGGAAACTGACAGCCAGAAACAGTACCGTCAGAATCAGCATAAAGATGACAGTAGCTAACGTGGACCGAATGCCTGCTGCATGCGAGGAGCTTCAAGGGTATCAGCTCATTTTGTCCTCACAGTAACCCTATGAGGCAGGAGCTGCAATTACCCCATTTACAGATGAGGAAGCAGGTGAAGAGAGGTGGAGTGAGCTGTCTAAGATCACCCAGCAGTAACTGATGGAGTCAGGGGTCCAGATCGGGCTCTGTCTGACTCCGGTGTTGGCCTCCTTCCCCACCTCGCTCTGCTGCTTCTGTTCTCTTGTGGCCTTCACGATGGGCTCATGGGGCTGAGTGTGCACAGCAACATGCTCGGGTGCATCTCCAAATGCCAGGAGGAAGACAGGACAGGAGCCCAGTGCATGTGAGGACACACGCTATGGAGCTAAAGGAGAGAGCTTGTTGCCTCCAGGAAGGATGGTCCTCACTGCTGAGAGGTAAAGACGTGCCATGTGATGGACGGCAGAGAGCAACTGTCGCTGCAGGAAGGGAAGAGAATATGCAGCACCCCACTGTGGCCTGGTGACACTAGGGATGACTGACAGGCAAAAAGAAGGGAAGGAGCAAGTCTGAAAGATGTGCGCACGCAGAAAGACAAGGCGAGAGAGATTTGGGAGACCGGGAGGCCAATAAACAAAGGCTCAGAGGCACGTGTGTACACGGCTCAGTGGCAGAGATGCAGGGGCTCAGGCTGATACCCAGGGAGGGAATGAGGAGGAGACACACATGGTGGACCCTGTTCTCCCTTTCTGGAGAAACCAAAAAATCTGTAGTCAATGATCAAGCTAAGTTAAACACAAATCCGAAAGAGGATAGGTTTTAATTCAATAAAAGTTAATAATTTCTCACAGCTAGCAGGCAATAGAGTGTTATAGCATCAAGTCTGAAAGTTATAGAACAATAAACAGTAGAGTTCAAGTGAAACTTCACAGGCTAGTTTATTATCAATTACCAATTCAACTTTGTTGTAGCAAAGTAGAGAATAAATATAAATGTTATCCCCCAAATAATCAGGTGTTTGATTTTTTAAATTAATGGGCACATATGTATTTTCCAACACTTTTTTCACATCTATAGAACAAGATGTAATAACTAGCTCAGTTCACTGTCTTCTCAAAGTCTTTTGTTACTTAAATATTCACTCTGTGTCTTAATCTTTCAAGTTTCCAGCTATTGAAAATATAAGTCCTTCACCTCCTTCCATCCTTTCAACATAATTACATTTTGATTATTTACTCTATTAAACTTTGAGACTTTATGTAGTGTATATTTCACATTTAATTAATTTAATTTGATTATGGAAAATCGCTTATGACCCTCATTTTATGAGGATAAAGTTATCTGTATGCCTATACTTCTCTTGAGCTCTTTCCAAAATTTGCTTGTCCATTACAGTCATCTGTACCTTGACAATCTGTCACCAACAGATTCCTGTTGGCTCCCCAGGAATCCTCAGGATAAAGAATAAAATTATCTGTGCTTATATAACAAGCATTACATTTTAGAAATTTTCTTCGGAAGTGATATTTGATAGTGCCATGCTAGCAATGCCCCTGTGGCATAGACGTTACTCTCTGTACCCTGCAGAGAAGAGGCCCACTGAGAAGTGGGTGGTGACCTCCCATCCCTGTGGCAGGTTGTTCCCTGCTGTGGTCTGAATGTTTATATCTCCTACAAGTTCATATGTTTAAATCCTAACCCCCAACATGATGGGATCAATAGGTGAGGCCTTTGAGAGGTGATTAGATCACGAAGGCAGAGCCCTCATGAGTGGGACTAGTGCCATCGACACTGTGTTCTACAATTAGTATTGTTTTAAAACTCTGTATGCCAATTCCCAAATATGATAATAAATAAATGTTTATACTATTATGACTACATAAATAATATCCCTGGAGAACCAGGACTTTTCCTAAAATTACGCCATTATTTGTTTTACTTCCTTTCCCTGTCCCACTTCCCCAAATCCCTTATCAGTTTCTTCTGGAAGTACCTCCCTAATAAATCACTTTAAGACAGAAACCAGAAAAACAGAAACATAAATGTGACTTGTCTCCCATTAATATTCCAAAAACAGAAGATCTGAGGATAGCTCTGACCAGGAACCCTCAGGATAAGGGATAAAATCCTTTGTGCTTGTGTATTAAGCATTATATTTTAGAAACCTTATTCAGAAGTGATATTCAATAATGCCATGCTAGCAATGCTCTTGGGGAATGGACATTACTCTCTGCACCCAGCAGAGAAGAGGACCACTGAGAAACAGGCCCACCTCTGATCAGTTATCTGGTCATCTCTTTAACACTTCATCCCTCTCTCCCTCCTTTCCTTGATCCATCACTTCCACCAGTTCTTTCTTCTATCCCATCCAAACATCCGCCTACTTATTTAGACCATCCATCCATCCATCCATCCATCCATCCACCCACCCATTTCCTTATTACTATCCCATCCAAGCATCCGCCTACTTATTTAGACCATCCATCCATCCATCCATCCATCCACCCACCCATTTCCTTATTACTATCCCATCCAAGCATCCGCCTACTTATTTAGACCATCCATCCATCCATCCATCCATCCATCCATCCATCTATCCGCCCACCCATTTCCTTATGAACGCAACAAGTATTTATTATGATCTACTGTAAACCTTGCACTGTACTGGATATCATGGGTGAATCTGGGAAATGGGAGAAGAGGAGGTAAGGAGCCTCTCTGTTTGTCAGAATGAGTTCCATTCCTCCCTGCCCCACAACACACACACAACATATTGTGGGGGGTCTTATTTCATCCTACAGGTAATAAGAGGGTCTCAGAGAGACACCATGGTGACCTCCCATCCCTGTGGCAGGTTGTTCCCTGCTGTGGTCTGAATGTTTATATCTCCTACAAATTCATATGTTTAAATCCTAACCCTGACGTGATGGTATCAGAAGGTGAGGACTTCGAGAGGTGATTCGATCATGAAGGCAGAGCCCTCACGAATGGCACTAGTGCCCTTATAAAAGAGTCCAGAAGCAGCTCATTCACCCTTCCTGCCATATGAGGATACAGTGAGAGGACAACTGTCTGTGAACAAGGAAATGTGACCTCATCAGACAGCAAATCTGCTGGCACCTTGATCTTGAACTTCCTGGCTTCCAGAATTGCCAGAAATAAATTTTGGTTATTTATAAAGTACCCCATCTATGGCAGTATATTACAGCAAACCAAACGAATTGAGACATGCCATCACGAAGTAAACGCATTGTAAAATCAAGGTTCACCTTGCCAGCCTAGGTCTGTCTGTCCACACCTGCCAGGTTCCTGTTGGAGCCAACTGAGCTAAAGTCCCAGCGAGATTTGCAGACCCACCTGCTCATCTTTCAACACTCTTTGAACTACTTAGTCATGGCAACAACATCTTGCCCCAGATTTCTGGGAAAGGGACAAGTCTTCCAACTTTTGATGAAAAACAAGCCAAAGCTCACTAAGCTGTCAAATCACTCAGCCAATCAGGCCACCAAGGAAAGCCAAAGTGCAGATGTCCAGTCTTGAGCTTCTAGAACACACCAAGGCCACCCCTCCTGGGAGGATACGGGAATATAGGCTAGAAGGGATTCTGGGAGGTTTATCAATCCATTTCACTGCTTCCAGGACAACACACAAATCATTTCGGTGAGCAAAATCTTCAAAGAGCCCTCAAATCTTCATAGCCTTTCCTATTTCCCTATCTGAGGTCTCACAGCCATGAATGTTTCCCTCATGCTGCAACCTAAGCCCACTTTGGTGAGGATGGAAGGGGCTGGTCACAATCTTCTGTGTATCAGTTTTTACAGACCACTCTTGAAACCTCCACAAAACCTCCTCTTCTTCGGGACATCTCATTTTGGCTCAGTTCTGCACTGGCCTTTGCTATAGGTCCTCAGAGTCACGTCTAGTGGACTCTAATTGAGAACCCTGCCAGGAAGGCTGCTGCCCTGCAGTGCGGGCTGGGTGGAGAGGCCCCTTCCTTCCATTATAGCACCTCAGCTCACCTGCACTGCCTTCTCCTTCCCCCTTCTCCAGGAGGAGGTGTCACACTGTCACCAGGAATGGTCTCTGTGCTCTGGCCTTTTGTCCTTGGAGAAGCTGGGTCAGGTGTATGACTAATGAACTTCCCACCCACCTGTGCCCCCTCCACTGGCCCAGCCGCACCCTCTGTGATCTACACCTGCTGCAGCCCCTTCCAGACCTTCAGCAATGCTGCTACTGCTGCTGGTCTTGAGATCTACTTCCTGTGTAGCACCCCCACCAGGATCTTTCCTAGGCCCTTACCTATCCCTTTCTTGCCTGGAACACACTTTTGCCAGCCTTTCCCAATTCTGCCACAGTCTACCAAATTGTTTGCTGAAAAATTCACAGAGCTTCGTCCTGCAAATCATATATAGGCCTCTTCTCTCTTGCCTCCTCTTTATCATTTCCCACCATAGCCCCTTCTCTTCCCAAGCTCAGGAAACATCAGCTGCAATCAGTAGGGCATTCCCACCCTGCAGGAAACACAGACCTAGCCCAAGATCTAGAGACCCCAAAACAAAAAGGCCAAAGGCAGAGGCTAAAGGGGCAGGAGGTATTACATGCTTTTCAGGCCCTCTGTTTGGTTTCTACTAGCTATAACATCACATTTTGCTTATTTTATTTTACTTTACTTCAATGTCAGGGCTTAGATCCATGTGTCTATTCCAAAGCACTTTTTAGGAAAAAAAAAGGTGGAGGGGTAATTATGTTTTGTTTGAGATCCCAGCCGTCTAAAATTTTCCAAGTAGTGGCCTGCTAAAAACAGGTTAATTTCCCACCTTGGCTTGCTGCACAAGCCTGGTGTGCTGGGGACACAGTGTGCAAATGCTGCTACATGATGGGCTTTTGCCAGGAAGGTGCCCAGAGTTGGGGCAGCTGGGAGGCACCGTAGCTGTAGAGACCCAGGAGAGGTAAAGATGCTGGGGAGCTGACAGTGATAGGAAGCCTTAGTGAGAGCTCCCTGAAAAACCCTGAGGGCGTGGTACAGACCTCTGATGTGTGAGTGCCCCATGGGGAGCAAGGCTGAGCCAAAGACTGCGGGATAACACATGGCCGGGAGTGAGGAAGGTGCGGGAGTGGGAGAGAAGGAGAATAGGAATGTTTCCTACGGAAAAATAAAGTAAAAAGCAGAGACAGGGCCCAACATGCAGTCAGGTCATCACAAAGGACACGCCCCCCACTGGCAGAACCAACGGGCCTTTCCCTGCACTGCATTCCAGTGCAGGGACCGACACCACATGGTTAACAAAGGTTAATTGTTGAATGGACACAGGAAGAGGCTCCTCTCCGGTTGGTCTCCATTCTACAAATCACTGTCACCACTTACTCTTCCAAAACCTTTTGGGCTCCAAGTCTGTCCATCAGCATCTGGAACTGGGCTTCCTCGTCTTCGCCCATGTCTCCCAGATCCTCGTTCCCTCTGGACTGATACACCTTCTCTTCGTGGCGCTGGGCCACCTGCTCACCTGCATCTTCCTGACTTGGGTTATTCTGGCTGAAGAAGAAGTGACCTAAGGGGTGCAGGGCACAAGGATCTGAATTAGACCCACCCCCCCAGGAAGAGTTCAGCTTTCTCACCCGCCAGGAATCACCGAAGGTTCATCTGAGAGAAGGAAAGGGAAACCCCCTCCAGTAAAGATCCATGGATGTAGGTCCGTGGACACGTTCCAGATTCTGTGTCTTTTCCACTTCCACAAACACCCCACCAGTGATGCCAGGATCTGGGAACGGCAGAACGCAAGACAAGTATGGTGCTCCTTTGTGGTTCTCAGTCCCTTGACATCTGGCTTAGAACGCACCTCTGTTGACTTCTTCTTTAAGCAACAAGGCCTTTCCCTGCACTGCATTCCAGCACCCTGACTGCAGAGGCTCCTATCGTCATCCTAGTCATCCTCCCGCTCGCATCACTAGACTTCACATCTATAAGCTCCTTAACAGTTTCCAGTGTACTTCCTCCATACGCATACTGTCCAGTATTACAGCACTCTGTCTTATCCTCCCAAGTCAATTAGAAGCTCCTGAAGGTCAGGAAAGGCATCAGATACTTACTAGAAAATTATATGGCCCCACACATGAGGCAGATGTATGGTAAAATTTGCCTTTGATGTATCTGATAGGATAGTGTGTCTGGTTTCTTTATGTTGTTCATAGATCTCAATTCTCCTTCTTCCTGGTTACCTTGAGAGTGGCTAGTCTGTTCAAACCTTCTAGAAATTCCTCTGATAGCTGTTATCCCTCAACCTGGAAGATTCAGCCAGACTTGGGTTGGAATGAGCCATCCAGTTGTCCCACCTTTTGGCCATTTTTCTATGAAGGCAGAAAAGGAGAGGCTGCAAATCTCATCACAGCTCCCCCTTTGATGCTATGCCTTCTGCAGAGCTTCCGTCCATCTCCCTTGCCAGTCCCAGTGGCAGGGAACTTGCTAATGGCAGTGCAGTGGGCACTGAGCAAGCAGCAATGTCAGCAGCTGAGACAGGCATGTGAGGAGGCCCAAGCAATCCAGAGCCTGGAGACCTTGAGCTCCAGGTCCCTGAAAGGAGGGCAGGAAAGCTTTACTACCTGCCCCCCAGGTCTAGAGGGAACAGGAATGCACCTTAAACAGTGCTAAGTAGACCCATAACCCTGCGGTCCCCAGCACCCATCAGAACTTACTGAATCCAGTAGTAAACTCCTCTGGGGTCAGATAGCCATTGCCATCAGCATCCAGGGCATCAAACACATCCTCCAGGTCCTCCAGGCTGAGCGGTAGCTCCTCATGCAGCCTCTGAAAACAACCCAGAGTGTACTGGTTAATACTGACACTCACCGGTGGCGGGGCTGACCTGGGACTGCAGAGCCTTCTGCCAGAAAGTGTCTAGAGTTCGGCCCAGGCTACAAAAGCCAGTAGCAAGCTTCTGCATCCAGACTGCTTCACCATCCCTCTCCTCCTTTCCATGCTAGCACAACTACCATTGATTGGGTGCCTACTAATGTACTAGGCCATTTGCTAGGTGATTCATAAATAAATACGTAAATATGCATTTATCTATCTATCTGCATTTAATTCCCATGACAACGCTTTGAGCTAGGCACTATTATCGCTGTTTTACAGATGAAGTTTGAGGTGAAATTACCTGCTCCAAAGTCACATGGCTAGTAATGACATAGCCAGGAGTCAAATCCAGCTCTGATTCCAAAGCCAGCACTCTCAACATCTGTAAAGGACTCAAACTGTACGGGACCAAATACTTTCAGGATAATACCCACACGGCGTAGTGTTATAAAGTTAATTGCAATCATGAATGTAAAGCATGTAACAGTGCCTGCATAGAGAAAGCATTCAATAAAAAGTAGCAGGGAGGCAGAAAGACAGAGAGAGACTCATGGCCCACTGAGGCCCCTCAAGGAGTGCATGGCAGAGCCAGGCTTCAAACCCTGTCTTCCCTGCTCTCCCTAACCCCCTTTCCTCTCCCGTACCATGATGCAGGGGTGGGTCATTTACTTTTAAAGGCCTCTCCTGCTGGAGGCCCCTGGTGTCCCAGTGCCTCAGCACTGCATTTGTAAGTGTCCACAGACACACATTTTGGTCCTTGAGCTCTGAGGGGATATGGGATAATCCCCCTTCCTACCTCTGAGTGACCCACACCCAGGCCCTGAGTCCAGGTTCCACTCCGGCTCCCGGCTGACTGGTAAGGAATTCCTAATAAGATCTCAACTGCCATTGGCTTAAGGTATCAAGCCCCCAGGAGTATTTGTGTGTTAAAGGGGGACTGGACAAGACAGTCCCCCTTGGAGGAGGTCATCATTGGATTTGAGTCTAGAACAGACTCAGACCTCACAAGGAGGGAAGGGCAGAGACCAGCTGATGGCCCAAGAGCAAAGTAGCTGAGCTGTTGCTGCTCCCTTCTGGCCTTCTGCCTGATGTGCAACGGCCTCAGGCCAAGGCTAATTTGCATAGTTGAAGCAAGTGTCCCCTCACAGCCAAACAATCTAGGTCTCCAAATGAGAACTCCCCAGAGAGTTCATTATCTCTCAGCCGACCATCTCCCTTCCTCCCAGTTACCTAAGCGGTAACTGCAAAATTGCCAGTGTGCAAGTGACTGACAGCTGAAGACAGTGAATACAGGGCTTTGTAAGAAGAAAGGTACACACCAACCTCAACAATAAAAAAGAGCTGGGAGGTGCGAAAGCCCATAACATAACTGGCAGGAACACTTGGCTTGATCCTATGGCAGTTCTAGCGGATAAGCCATAAAGCTTAATTTGGCAGGTACATGCATTAAGAGAGACTACGACGCATTATAAAGTGCGAAGACAGGCTGATGTGGAAGCCATTTAGAAGAATTGAATTAAATATGAATGGGCTTTTCAAAAAAGGAAGGAGAGTGAGAGAGTGTGCAAAGATTCTAGAAGTATATCTGCTTAGCATTCAGCAGAATCTCTGACTTATCAACAATCCATAAACCAGCTGTCTGAAAAGCTACAGTAGAAGAACACAGGGTAAGGAGAGAGTCAATTTTGCAAGCAGGGATTTTATTAGCATCATTGGAAATAAAAAGCATCACACCTGAGGTAGGGTAAAAGCGCAAGCTCCTGTCAGGCTCACATTCCTTCCTTGGGATAATCCTTCCTCCTTCCCCACCCTCAGCCTAGGATTGCTGGATCTGATTCAAAATGTGGTCTCTCACACTGGGCTGGAGCAAGAAATGAGCTGCAAGAAAATTCCAGAGATCAACGGGACCCTCAACAGGCCTTTCACCCAAACACCCCACACACTTTTCTCTTGTTAGCATGAACCAGGAGAGGCTAGTTCACAGCTCACCTTAGGCACCATTCCTGGATCCAGCAGCACTTCCAACCCCAAATCCCCCTGTTGTCTAATCCCAGTCCTTCTTGTCTACATCTCAAGCCAGTTTCCTCCTTTTGTTGTCAGCGAAGATGGAGAAAGTAATATTATAGGTTCCAAGTAGTTCTTACTCTTCATGTCCTGGCAAATTAGCGCTGAGTGCTTCTTCAGCCTTCTCTGCAACTGCACTACACCTGATTCTTTAACCTTGTTTAGTTGGCCCTCCTTGAAAAATCTTTTAGTCTTAATAACCATAATTATCTCTTATTTATCACTCTGCTCAGGGCCTGCAGAGCTACAGAAAACCAGCTTGTTCTGGTATGGTCCCCTGGTACTGTTTACATTATTTTTGTTATTTTTTTTTTTTTTTGAGATGGAATCTCGCTCTGTCACCCAGGCTGGAGTAGAGTAGTGTGATCTGGCTCACTGCAACCTCCACCTCCCGGGTTCAAGCGATTCTCCTGCCTCAGCCTCCCGGGTAGCTGGGACTACAAGCACCCACCACCACGCCCAGTTAATTTTTGTATTTTTAGTAGAGACAGGGGTTCACCCTCTTGGCCAGGCTGGTCTTGAACTCCTGACTTTTTGATCCACCTGCCTCAGCCTCCCAAAGTGCTGGGATTACAGGTGTGAGCCACCGCACCTGGCCTACATTTTTAACTAAGTGAGATAAGCAGGGTGGAGGGGAGCAAGATGATTTATTCCACTGTGCAATAAGCCTGTGAGGCTCTGAGATTAGCCTAAAGTCACAGTGGAGACCACAGCTGGCAAAAGAACTGATTTTCCATCCAGGGCTTAAGCAACTGTCTAACAGTTCTCCAGTGCATTCATTCTGTTATTCCCTCACCGTCATTACCGCCCACACCTACCCACCTACCAGCACCACCAAAAGCAGAACACAAAGTCTCCCTTGCCAGCACCACCAAGACCCAGCCTTCCAGAGATCCTGTGGCACTCACAGCTTTTCACGCACCTGGAAGGGCGGGCCAGGGAAAATGAGAGGCACGAGGAGGAACCCAGTTTCCTATCCGTACTGCCCATGGCACTAGGAGCTCTTGAGAACTCCTTTAAACACCAGCCTCACTCTTCACTCTCATCTCCGGCATCGCTTCCTCCCTAAGGCCTCTGCAACTCCCCAGGTTAGGTCAGGTTACGCAAGCTCCCCAGACTACCTTTCTCTCATTCATAAGTCTTATCTCGATGAGCATTTCATATACTGACAGATGTGATTCGTTGATGAATGTCTGCTCCCTCAGTGCTCTGAGAACAGGGACCTCATTCATTAGGCATTGTTGTGTCCCCAGGATCTAGCCCAATGCTGACAAACACGAACTCGTGTTTGTTTAGATAAGTGTTGAAGGAAGGCATGCATAAGCGCTTGACTAAGAGCAACGGCAGGAGACCCTGAGCTCCCATGTACAGAGTGCTGGTCTAGACCTCGCACACTCCAGATCCTGACCAGCCCAACTGCTGATTCTCAGCAAGACTCATAGTGACTGGCAGCCTTCCAGAACCTGGAACATGGAGCATCTACAGCAGCAGTACTGAGAGTTCCTGCCCCAGAGCCATGGAAAGTGGTGTCTTTGGTTGCACTCCAGCCAGACTCCTTTACCTTCCTGGTCACCAGCCCAGTAACACACCCCACGTAGCTTAAAGCATATGGTTGCACAGCTTCAAACATGCTTCCATGGCATTTTTATTAAGGAGAAAATCAGAAGATATCCATTTTTTATGTCCAGAATGACACTGTCCCTCCTTTTGGGGCATTCACAGCATTCTTTTCAGACGCCGTTCCAGCACCAACCACCCTCTTCCCTGTGGTACAGTTCAGCTATCCCAAATCTCTTTAGGACGAGAGTGGGAGGTGCGAGGGCAGCATCAACCTTTATCCTGCTTTGCACCTTCATGTGCTTGGCTTGGGCTGATTACGTGGTATAGGCCAGTTTCTCAATCTCGGCACTACTGACATTTTGGAATGGACGATTTTTGGTTAAGGGAGGCAGGGGAGGGACCAATCTGTGTATTATAGGATATACAGCAGCATCCCTAGCCTTTGCCTGCTAAACGCTGGCAGCACTTCCCTCACCAGTCGTTTCAATAAAAAACGTCTCCATACATTGTGTAAGGAACTTGGCTGTGCTTTGGTCAAGGATAGACCGTGGTAGAATTATACATCCTCCGTGACTCAGCGAGTTTAGAGCGCAGGCGTATAATTCCACTGGTTATCACAGCCATATAGCCATAACATGAGAAGGCCATCACTTGGCTGTACACCACTATTGTCTGTAAAAGGTATAATTGTCCCGTTGACAATGTGCAGGCATGCTTGCGCTTGTGCCCACAGAAAGAGAGAGCGAGTCAGAGCTGTCTGTCATTGCAAACAGATTGCGGGGAGCCAGGACACACACCCAAAGAAAGAGTTAATGAAGCTGCTGACCCTGAAGGCAAGGGAGAGTGGGCCATGAAGCTGTGTGTGGGGGCCGCCGCATTAAGTAGCCAAGACAGGGCGGACAGTGTGAGAAAGCTGTTGATGAAAGCTGCTGCTGAATAAAACCATATTCACCTGCCTATGACCCTGAGTGTTGTTTCTGCTCATCCACCCACTTCCTCTGGACCTCAGTACGGGCTGGAACCTATCCCGAAGCATGACAATTGGCGTAGTCGTGAACATGACGCATTGCCATATGTCCTCCAGGAGGCAGAATTGCCGCCACTCATGTAGATTGGACACAAAAATAACAGCAGCTGGATATGAGTGGAAGATTCCCTTTTCAGCAGAAATGCCCGTTTCTTTTCTCTAAGACAGGACAGACAACTTGCACCTTAAAACTGCAATGTGATGGTGCAGCTACTGTATAAAATGGTATGGTGTCTCCTCAAAAAATTTATAAAATAGAATTATCCTATAATCCAGCAATTTCACTTCTGGGTATATACCCCAAAGAATAAAAGGCAAGGACTTGAACAGATAGTTGCCCATCCATGTCCATATCAGCATTAGTCACAAACAGTCAACAGGTGGAAGCTACCCAAGTATCCACTGACAAAGGAATGGAGGAAAAAAACGTGGTATATACATGCAATGGAATATTATTCTGACTAAAAATATTCTGACACATGCTGTGATACGGATGAACCTTGAGGACATTATACTAAGTGAAATAAGCCAGTCACAACAGGACAAATATTATATAAATCCACCTATATAGGATACCTTGAGTAGTCCAATTCAGAGAGACAGAAAATAGAACGGTGGTTGCCAGGGGCTGGGAGTAGGCGAAATGAGGACATTGTTTCATGGGCACAGAGTTTCTGTTTTGCATGATAAAAAGAGTTCTGTAGATATATGATAATGGCGGTTGCAGAAGAAAGTGAAAGTACTTAATGTCACTGAACTGCACACTTAAAAAATGGTTACAATGGTAAATTGTGTGCTATCTGTATCTTACCACAGTTAAACACAATCACAGTGCAGAGGACATCAGGGACTGGGCTAAGACGTGGCACATACACAGTGCATTTCCAGGGATTTCCAGGTCCCAGTCCCAGGGCTGAGTGTGCTACATGCTTAAGCTCATTCAATTCTCTTTTAATGCTGGGAGGTAGCTATAAATAATTCACAGCTGAGAAACTGTAGCCTAGAGGGGTTAAGAGATTCACACACATTCGTATTACTAGCAAGTTGCAGATTGAGGATTAAAACCCAAGTTAATTTGCTATAAAAATCTTTTAAAGTTTTCTAGTTAACCTAAATCAGGAGTTAGCCGGCTTTTTCTGAAAACAGCCACAGCGAGTGCATATTTTAGGCTGTGTGGGCCCTTCGGTCTTTGTCACAACTACTTCACTCTGCCACTGCAGTGTGAAAGAAGCCATGGAAAACACATAAAAGAATGAGCACATCTGTGTTCCAAGAAAACTTTACTTACAAAAACAGGTAGTGGCCCAGATTTGGTTAGTTTGCCAACTCCTAAATGACTCTTAAGTTTGGCATAGCCAAGAGTTCTGGGCAGTGTTGGGGAGGCAGGTGCTTGGTGTTGGTAGATAATCCTTTTACTCCTCCAAAAAATTCAGGGAAACAGGGCTTTTGAGGCTCTAGGTTTTCTCAGAGAGATCTCCTGCCCATCCTCCCCCCATCTCCCTCTCCCTGTCTGTGACTTTCTTCCCACTTGGCTTCTCCATTAGCTCCTCAGCCTCCTGTGTTCTTCCTCCCACCTGGCCTGTGGCCTCTCCTTCCTTGAAGACCACTCTCTGCTGTCAAGGACCTTTCCTGCTTTCTGAATTTGTATGTGTATGAAAAATGTGCTCTTTCCCTTCCAGTTCCCATGATGCTGTGCTGGGAGCCTAAGGTAAAAAAGGCGGTGGTGCCCAGGCCCAGGAAGTTGGACACCAGCCAAAGGCGGTGACCACATGTACACCACGGCCCCATGTGGAAGTGACAAGCTGACAACACAGATGCCTGGAGGACCTGCTGCGGGAGAACCAAGGGGCATGGGGACTTTCTGCAGAGAGCCACAGTTGACCATGAGAAGCCCTGTTTTTCTTCTTCTTCATGCATCTCCCCCAGCCTATCTTCCTTCAGAGGTGGCCAGCGGAAGCAGCCAGAGATGGTGCTTAAATAACATGCTCTGTTCCCTCTCTTGACAGCACTTGCCAGCCGGAAGAACTAAACATTTCAAATGCTTCATTGACCACAGGTTCAGAAAAGCGTCAGAAAATTAAGTAGACAGCGGAAATAAATGCCATGGATGCCAAGTTATTGGCTTGATGGCTTGAAGGTTCGGGCGTCCTCCTGCCTGGATCAGGAGTGGGGACTGGGGAGGAAGGCGGAGTCAGTATTTCTGGGACTTAATGTTTCTGACTATATTTCAAGTCAAATACAAGTGATTTCTTTAAAAATTTATACCTAGTTGAAATTCTCCATGACTCCTCATCCCTTCATTAAAGAGTGGGGCTCAATGAGAGTTCGGTTACATACAGCAAGAGTGCTGAGTGGCACAGCACATGTGGCCCAGAGTTGACCCTCCATAAATGTGAATTTCCTTTTCTTTCTTTCTAGAGGGAATAATCAAAAGTTAAGCCTGATTTTGAAACCACCACCACCAACCACCGCTACCGCAGACCTGTGAATGCCAATTACGAAGTTCACAGACGGGTTTGTCAAAGGTTTCCTCAAAACACACTGAATCTGGCCTTCCACGTGGTGAGGCTTTGGGGACTGGGTTTTGGGGACAGAAACTTACTGGGGGAGTCATCACCGCAAAGAAGGGTGGGCTGGGCTCATTTGTGGGCCGAGCTGGTGCTGTTCCCCAGGTCTTCTCCCTCAATTCGTGCACCAGGTGGACAGTGGAAGAGCGCCAGGAGAAGCATAAGCACACCATCACGTGGGGCCAGGGAGAGGAAGAACTGCCACACTTCACCGGGGGTCACAAGGCTCCTTTCGTAGCCTCCATACCTCAGAGCTCACATGCACGAGCAGAGATGGGGCTGAGCCTAATGAGGGTCTCTACATTTCATTGCCCGACTTTGGTATATTCTGAAGAACTAGACTTAAAGACAGCCTAGCCATTGTGCTTCCTCCAACAGCACAGGGATGCGTCCCTTCAAAAACTACTCTGATGGAGTGAGTGACACAAAGACGGAGGGGAAAAGAGCTGCTCTGAAAGTACTCCAGTGGAGTCTGTGTTTTATTCACCCACGTTCAAGTGAAATCCTGACTGCGGCATAACAGACTTCAGTCACACACTGAGAAGTTTGTGAAACTAAAGAAAGAAAGGCACCAGACCAGGAGTGGGCAAACTCTGCCCCTGGGCTAACCCAGCAATCCCCTATTTTGGTGTGGCTAGTGAGCTAAGCCTGGTTTTTACATTTTTAAATGGTCAAAAAGAAATATCAAAAGAATAACTGTACTTGGTGACACACGGAAATTATACAAAATTCAAACTTCCTCGTCCATAAAGTTTTATTGGAACACGGCACCCTCATTTGTTCACATATTGCCTATGGATGCTTTTGTGCTGCAAAAGCAGAGACGAGTAGCTGTGATAGAGACTGTAAGGTCCACAAAGCGGAAAATACTTATTCTCTGGACCTTTATAAAAAGGCTGCCGGGCACTGCACTAGGCAATGGTGTGCACTGATGCTCTGCACACTATCTCTCTGGAGAATCTCTTCAGGTGAGTGCAGTGTGTTTGGGTTTGAAGGTGAGAGACGGATAAGACAACCTCAGAAATGCCTTCCTCCCAGGTTGTGGGAGACACCGTACCTATTCCTAAGGCACAGACAGCAGGAATGACTTCATTATAACTCAAGTTGGTGCCTTTCTACTTTCAGTTTCAGCAGGTTCTTCTCTGTGTCTTACTTAAGTCCCTTATGTTACTATTATCATTTCCCACAATCCCGGAAAGTTACCGAGGCAGAGAGGAAAGAGCCCTGGAGTCTGACAGCAAGTAAAGGCCAGAAATAGAATGAACCCAGGAGGTCCGGTTCCTAGTAGAGTTTGGTCAGACCTTTCCTTCCAAGACAGAACCAATGGCACCTTTTCTGTTAAGGATGTCACCTCCCATGGGGCAAGCTCTAACCCGAGACAGGGAGACATTTGGCATTCTCGGTGGGCAGACCTACCGGGGACCCCACTTACCTGCATATCCTTCCTGGCGATGAAGCCCTTGCCTTCAGCATCACAGGTCTGAAAGAATTCCTGTGCCTTCCTCAGCATGTCCAGCTGGCCCGGCGTCTGCTCCTGAGTCTCCTTCTGCTCCAGGCTGTCCAGGGGATGCAGGCAGGCTCCACGCCCCTTTGGCCCCCGGCCAGACCCCTGACCAAGTCTTTGGGGTCTGGAGACTACCCTCCCATCAGGGGCAGCCATTGAGATTAGTCAGTTTCTTGAAGTCTTTTTCAGAACCTGAACATGGAAAATGGGAGAGAGAAGTGGGTGTGGTGGGTTGGAGTGAGGCTGAAAAAGAACAAGAGGGGATGAGAAGGAAGCACAGAGCCACCCATCAGTGTGTCCAGGCATCTCTTAGCAACCACCTCTTAATTAGCAATAGCTCAGGACAAGGGGAAAATATTCCATGATCACTAATAGATCGGCAAGTCCATCAACGGGAGAAGGGAAGAGTGCGGAAAGAAGACAGACATCTCCAGATTGAGAGGAGATGGACTAGGGGAAGCCCAAAAATAATTTCTCCCAATTTAAACAACCAAACAACAACAAAACAGATCCTGATAGACCCGCTGCCATTTATAGAGCGTTCACTTAGACACCATGCCATGGCCTCTATATACATTTTTTCCATGTAATTCTCACATCTCTCTGACATAGCCATTATCATCTTCATTTTAGCAATGTGAAAACTAAGGCTCAGAGAGGTTGAGTGACTTGCCCAATATCACACAACAAATTACTACAAAAGCTGAGATCGCAATCCAAGCTTGTATAACTTGTATGATCTTAATCCCACCCTGTCGTGACTCCTCAGCATTGCCGAGGGTGGAAAGTTCTCCTTAGGCAGATGCACTTGCTCCTACATCATTCACAGTCAACCCGTTCTTGGTGAGCTCTTACTCAATGTCATAGACCTCTGCCACAGCTGTGAGCTCTGCAGTTTAAGTAGGAGAAAACGTGCCCCATTCTCAAGGAGCTTCATGTTGCACAGGACTCGCCAGGCCTGGTTTGGTGATGCCCAAGGCTGTTTTCAGCCCAAAAAGAATCACAAATCATACACCTCAATCAGACCTTTAAAGACCCTGAAGGAGTGTTTTCAGAGGGTATCTTGCAATGTGATGTGGAAGACAGTATACAGAAACCTGGCTTCCAGTCTGGACTCCACTGCTGCTTATATGACCTTGAACAAGTCGGTACCTGACTGGGCCTCAGTTTCCTTTTCCATATGAGGAGACTGGACCTGTTTATCATTAAGGTCCCTTCTAGTTCTGATCATCTGTAAGTCTGTGAAATCCCCACATCATAAACTGCTATTAATTGTAAATGTTATTAATAAAAAACTGAGTTCATGGGATAAAAGGAAATAATAACATCCTTGGATTGTTTTTTTCCATCTGAAGACTTTTTGGAAGCAGAATAGGTCCAAATTTTAAATACATGATCACATTTGGATTTAAAAATAGAGATATGCACTGTCATGCATTTTGTGGCAAGCTGGAGAACGTGATGCCCTGGATCATATTTCCTGTGTCCATGTGAGTAAGAAAGGAGGAAAATAAGTGAATCACCAGGCAGGTTTCTCTGATTACTAGGCCCTGGGCCTCTGGCTCAGCTATACCATGTCCAAAGCAATCTAAAATCTGTTGATTTCAGTGACCATCTTCCCTTTACCAGATTTGTCAACAGCTGGGGGCCAGAGCTGGAAGAGCTCCTGGCATCAGGAATGAACTTCATGTAACAAGACCTTGACAGGGCAGAGCAGACTACACCTCTCGCTCCGCGTGGCTGAACATGTAATTCCCACTCTGACCCATCTGACCAGCCCTGTCCTCAGGAATGTTCTTTCTTGTCATCCCTGTGTGTGTGTACTGACCATCGCCGAATCCTAAGCAGATTTCACATTTCTATTCTGTCTTCCCCAGAGGGAGCTGCCTTGGATGTAAGCCTGAGGAGGCAGGGCTGTGTCTTCGTGGCTTTTATGTGCATTGTTCAACCCACCTGCATGCAGTGCTGGCTTTGCAAGGGCTTTTGGATAACGATGGTGGTAACGTGAGCTTCTGTAAATATAGCACATGAGCAGAACAGGCTGTTGTCTTCCTGGGACCTTGCCGGGACTCTATCTGCAAGGTCTCTGCACCCAGTAGGCCCCACCCTACTCCCACCTGCTGCTCCCAGGAGACGAGATTAATAATATCTGTCATTCCTTGAGTGCTTTCTCTTGCCAGGCCCCTACCATACTTCCTCCTATTGAACCTGACATCCTCCCATACGGTAAGTATAATCAGGATTCCCATCATACAGATGAGGAAACTGAATTTTGGAGAGGTTAATTTGGATCAAAGTCTAGCATAGTCAGAGACCTCTTCTGCTACACCACATCACCTTCCTGAGACCCAGTTGCGGGCTTGCTCTTAACAGGGTACTCATCCCCAACTGATCTAAATCACCTCCCAGAGGCATATTCATCATTCTAACGGGAACGTCTTTAATTCATTCATTCATTCATCCATTCATTTATTTCCATCTACTGATTACTATGCAGCAAGCTCTGAGCTAACACTGAGAAATAGTGTTAGGTGACATAGTTAGTAGGACATGGTCCCTGCCCTTAATGAATGAGTCTCTGAGAGTCTCTAATGGTGGGATTTCAATAATGGTGACTGACAGTGGGGGAAAATGTTTTAGATTGAGTCCTAAATAAACTCTGTGGCAATCAACTACTATTAAATAGCTGTGTGACCTTAAGTGAGCCCTCAAGTCACTCTGGGCCTGAGAAATAGTAGAGAGGATTTCTTAGTTCCAGATCTGATGCTTGCTGGCTTTCTATCTTCCCTAGACCACTTTCCCTCTACCTCTGCCCACCTGTTAACAGGTGATGCATGACATGAAAGAGTCAACTAGTAGTTCTAGAGAAGTCAGCTATGAACAACCAGCAGACAGGCACCATGTCTTATCTGATTTTACCACCAGTTTCTAGCCTAGAATATGGTACACAGTAGGTACTCACTGACCATTGTGTGAAGGAAGACCAATCTTTTGCTGAAGTCTTCAGAGGACGGCCTGCAAGCATTTTTATTTCAGGCAGGTAGCTCTATATGTGGAATTTTTATCTTATAATGAGTAAGTCTAGACTTCTGTTTCCAGAAAAGACGTAGTATCAGAGGCTGGATTTACCCTCCCGATTGAAATAACCAAAAATCCAGAGAGAATATAACTTTAAAAATGGTTTTCAAGACACGAGACATCAGGAATGAAGGATGGTAATCCTTAAGCAGGGGCAGGACTATACTGAGCTGAGTGAAGCCCCTACAGAACAGGATTTTAAAAGACATTTACTCTCAGGACCTAACCCTGAGCTTACACAACCCTGAGAATTAGTACCTGCCCAAGAGTCAGCTGCTTAGGGTACAAAATCTAAGGAGGCTTTCGCTCACAAAATTGTGCACCTGACAGTGATTTCTGTCCTAAATCTTTTTTATCATAGGGGCTTCACTCATCTTACTCTAGTTCAAGCTCTGCTCCTGAGAGATAGGAAAGAAACAAAATGAGCCACAAGTTTGCCCTGTCTTATTGTCTAAAGAGTTTTCAGGAAACACAGGCACAGTTTGGCAGACTACCTATGTTGAGGAAACCCAACTATATCCTGCTTACGAGAAATGTGTTTTACACATAAAGACACAAACAGTTAAAAGTAAAAGGCTGGAAAAAGATATAACACATTAACATTAGTTAAGAGAATATTGCATATTAATATCAGGCAAAACGGACTGCAGAAGGAAGAATATTAATGGGAATTAAAAAGTCATTTCATATGGATAAAAGGTCAACATGCTATAATAATGCTAAACATTTATGTGTCTAATAGCAGAGCTTCGAAATACACAAAGCAAAAACTGATTGAACTGCAAGGAAAAACAGTAAAGTCATAATGATATCCAAAGATTTCAATAACTTTCTTTCTCAATAATTTATAAAACAAGTTGACAGAAATCTATAAGGATACAGACGACTTGAACAACACTATCAACCATCTTGACTTAATTGACATTTATAGAACATTCCACCCAACGACAGCTAAATATACTTTTCAAATACACATGGAATGCTGACCAAGATAATCCATATTCTGGGGCACAAAATCAGTCTTAATGAATTTAAAAGGATTCAATTTGTACAAAGTATGTACTCTGACCACAGTGGAATTACATTAGAAACCAATAACAGAGAGACCTCTGGAAAATGTCCAAGTATTTGGAAAGAGAGTAACACACTTCTAAACAACCCATGGGCGAAAGAAAAAAAAAAAGGAAAGGAGAAATGAAAAAGTATAGTGAACTAAATGAAAAAAAATCACAATATATCAAATTTTGTGGGATACTGCTAAAGCAGCACTAAGAAAAAATTGATAGCACTAATCATATATACTCGGAAAGAAGAAAGGGCTCAAATCAATGACCTCAGATTTTACCTTAAGAAACAAGAAAAATAAATACAAATTAAACCCAAAGTAGGGAGAAAAAAATAATAAGGATCAGAAAAGAAAAAATGAAATAGAAAACAGAAAGGCAATGGAGAAAATCAACAAAACTAACAACTGGCTCCTTGAGAAGATCAATAAAGAGAGAAGATATAAATTACAGTATCAGCAATGTGAGGTGATATCATTACAGATACTCTAGATATTAAAAGGCTAATAAGAGAATATTATGAATAACTTTATGCCAACAAATTTGACAATTTAGATTAGATGAACCAATTTCTTGAAAAACACTAAATACCAAAGCTCACTCAAGGAGAGACAGATTACATGAATAATTCTATATCTGCTAAAGAAATTGACCTGATAAACAAAAAATCTTCCCACAAGAAAACTTCAGGTCCGCAGAGCTAAATTGATGAATTCTATCAAATATTTAAAGAATGAGTAATACCAATTCTACACAGACTCTTGCAGAAAATTGAAGAGTAGGAAATGCTTCCTACCATATTATATGAGGCTAGCATTACCCTGATACCAACACTGAACAAAGATATTACAGAAAAAAATAGGCCAATATCCCTTATGAACACTGATGTAAACATTCTTTAGGGAATTGTAATAGATCGAGTTCAACGCCATATAAGAAGATGATAATCCTGACCAACCAGGGTTTATCTGCGAAAGGCAAGAATGGTTTAACATTTAAAAATCAATAATGTCATTCACCATATTAACAAATTTTAAAAGATAAACCTTT